ACACACACACACACACAAACACACACACACACAAACACACACACACACACACACACACACACACACACAAATAAAGACACACCTGGTCGATTTCGTGTCTAAAATGGAATCAGGAAAACTTTTTATCTTCTGCTAGCACACATCACTTGTAGAAGAATCTGTTTTCCCCAATATAATCGCTTCTTAAATAACCTAAGAGTGTTGATAGGCAGGGGCGTTAAAACATTACCATTTCATTTCACCCAATATCATCTCTTTGGTTTTAGCTCAAGACGGAGCAATGACTGAACTTACAATACCACCTGGGGATTTTTGCTAACGATTTCTGAAGTCAAGTTCTGAGTTACTGCTTTTATTATATACATCTACGCGTACGTTTATATTTCAATTTGCATTGTTTGTTAGGGTGTACGTTGGATGGGAACTAAATAATACAACCGAGCCCGCGAGGTTGATTTGAAAACACAAATAAGGCTGCAGGAAAACAGTAATGTTCTGAAGAGGTAATTTGCACCAAATATCTGATTCAATCTCTGATACTTTATGTAGAAACTTCACTACTGGTGGTCAAATCGTATGAAACAGACACACGACAAATAATTGTAAGATTTTTTTGGGCCTACTTTTCTCTAGTTAATTGAGAGAAATAAACGTTAGCTTCTGGGTGTTTAACGGGTGCTCTGGAGTGGTTTGTTTCTTCTTTCCTGTCGAACATCTATCATCTTTATCTCCCCTCCTTCTTTTTTATGTTTGTTACTCTCTTGTAACACCTCTAATCTTCGGCACTTACATGACGTTATTGTGTTGCAAGTGCCGTAAAACTCTTATCAACCCCCGAAAAAACAACATAAGCTTTCTATCTGTCTACTATGAATAATTTCCAACGGACACAGTTCACGATTTTCCGATTTCGTGGGAAATATTTGGTCGCTTAGACAAGCGGGCAAACCCAGATTTTAGGGGTTTCCAGAAATCTTGACGTCCACCAAAAGTGAGCATTGACCTACCTACGGGAGAAGTTTGTTTTCATTGGTGTGTATATGTGTTTGGTTATAGAGAAATTTCTCCATGTCTTTTAAAAAAACTGAACAAGGGGCAATAGCTTTACCTTCGATTTTCTCAAAACAGTATTTTTCGGGATAGCCCCCCTTGTGCTTAAAAGCGACCATTTTGCCGTTGGACCAATGATGCACGCGGCACATAGCAGTTGACTCACGAAGTGCATCCTGTTCCCCCCTCGACGTTTGAGGACGTGTTGTTTTTTCTGCATTGTTATAAAAGAAGCACAATAACTTCATTATTATCAATTCGGCTCGTTTTCTTCGGAGATGGACGTTAAACTCGGATGTTTTTCCTCGATCTTAAATATAAACTAATAGTGTTGATAAGCGCGTTAAACCCGTACCCTTTCACAATATTTTTCAAAATCATTCAGATTTTTTTTTTTTAATCGCTGTTTACTAGACCTGAAACTTTACAAGGCAACAAGGCCATCAAAAATATAATGCTCACAAAGAAAACATGCAGATTCGTGTCTGTGACTTGTGTTTGATGATTCGGACTGTGCCACGCAACCATATTTGTTCTGGTCTGCTGCTGATCTGACATGATATAATATGAATAAATGTCCACAAGATTCTTGAAGAGGTAACCAAAGTGTGGAAGCTGTATCTCGGCGTGGAGTGAAGGATTTATGAAACACAGCGATGTCTATAGGGTCAGCGGGGCCAGATCGAAAGGAAAACGGTAAGGAGAAGACTAAAGATAACCCTTTCCTCCTGCCATACAGGCTCTGTCGTCTGACCTTAGATCTGAGGACGGTCTATAGTCGGGTAGCGGATAAGAAGACCTTTGTGACGTAGAACAGAATATCAAACAACCAATTGAGAACGACCCCTAAAAAATTAGAATAAATAAGTAAATAAATAAAAAGATAAAAGAATAGATATAAATTAATACTTG